TATCGATCGCAATCCACAACATTCTTATCTCAAACTTGTAGAAAACAAGAATACATGTGATCGATCAAGAAGAGTTTTGATTCATGGCCATATATTAGAACCAACAACAACTTTATCAAGCTATTAAGGTGGCGTTCAAATGCCAAATATTATCAATATTAGATAAAGACGTTTATCAATGGATTTTTTTCAATTATAATATGCTATCATTTTAGGGTTCTGCATCGATATTCAACGTATTCGGCCATCTTGCATTCCATTTTTTTTTTTATAAAAAAGTTATTCACATCAAACATTACTAAACAACATCAAAAACTGCATCGCCTATGGTCATTGAGGCATCGCAAATTTCTTAATAAGACACCCGAATTGAGAACTATAGTGATGTAACGAAATATGTGATTTGAATTAAATTCAATCTAAAAGAAATAATTGCTCATTGCATAGATTTACACAAACTGATAGTTTGCTGACATAAGATCGACATGTTTTATTGAAATCTAAAAACTTTCAATGCATACTATTACAGGTATAAAGACTTCGTTAATGTTGCTAGCGTAAGTGAGCTGTTCCCACCATTTACAAATTAATCACATCAAATTAAAACTTTTTAACTTGTAAGCAATCATAAAGTTATAAACATTTGTGTTTTAAACGATGATTAAAAAGGTCTTAGTCTTTAGAATTTATGAATACTAATTTACTCGAGATCCCACCTGTGAATGAAAAATCCGAACTAGATGCCCGCATCTTTCTTCCACCTCATTTCACCATCTTACTTGATTTCTGTATTAAAATTTTCTTTTCTTGAAGATAAATATTGCCTGATAGTTCATGAACAAGACGCTAACAAAACTTTCTTTAGAAAATGTTAAAATGAAAAGCAAGTTTAAAGCGGAAAGCTTATCCTCTGAAGTTAATAATACGGAGGTATGAACTGACGTAAAGAAAAGAGAGCACTCGATGACATGAAGAGCCATTTAACGTTCACTTGACAATTTAACGGCAAAACGTTTAGATTTATGCTAAATTTAATAAGATTAAGTCCAATATTCTCGAGATTAATCATAAGAAATAGACAAATATATGAAATCTTTTCACCGGTAAAAATTAATAAACATCTTAATCTATTGAATTAATTTACGAATATTGTGCAAGACGATACTTCATTACAGTGATCTTTGACAATGAATTATGATTATAGTCCCGCCCCATACAATCAAAAATGCATATGTTTAAATTTTCACTTTTTCAGAAGAGTTAAAGGTATTCTACTATTAATCCTTCCACACCGGGAGACCTCGTGTACAAATGTTAATGTTGATTTAATGAACACTAATCGCATGTAAATAGTGAATGTATCCATACAAACCCTATCAAAAATGGGCGTGTCTACCCCAGCCACTAACATGAATAACACTAAGGACACAGGTGTAATTATCCGCGTGGTGAAGTAGGAAAGAGGTGAATTTCAATAAGCATGAAAATTAACAATATAAATCACATAGTCTCCACCTGGAGGTCTTGGTGTCATTGTGTAGAAAAAAAAGCACACCAAACAGAATCATTGGTCCCCTAAACTCACTAAAATAGATAGAATGAAATAAGATTAAAAGAAAAAGAAATTTTAGAATGAAAATATGCTAGGGTTACTGAATACAGTTTCAGATATTTTTAATCACATCGCTTGACTTTTAATATAGATTTAAATATTCAAATTCAATAATTTTCAAAACATAAATTATGTTTCAAACATATTGTATATTAGTTTAACTCGAGAATCGTAAGTTTTAAATTCATTTCCCAACATCGGATCTAACTAATGACTTTAAAAGTTTATCAGAATATCCTGAACCCTTTTACCATGGATGCGTTCTCGTATCCGCATTTATCACACAATCGAAAACGACTTATCAACGAATTTTAACTTAAAAATTTACACTAGGTGTTCAATCCATTCGAAAGATATTCTTTTATTGGCTGGAAAACGAACAATTTATTCCGCCATATGTGTTTATTGTGGATAAAAACAACTAATACCGTGTGGAAGCAACCAAAGATTATAGATATATAAGTTTCACTGACATAATTAATTAACACTATATATTTTTTTTGCATTGTTCGCGTACTTCGTGCAAACGGTTAAGCTTTTAAAAATGCCAATTTGATTAATTCAAGGAATAGTTGACAATAGGTACGGATTATTGAAATAAATATATAACAATAAATTATTATCCTATGACATGCATGTATAACGATGATTGAAAAAGGTAACTAAAGGAAAATATCCCCAATATTTGTTTCACTCACCAGCTCCAAATTCTTAATTGTCTTACCTTACTTGAAAACGAATATTAAAGAGTTTAAAAAACATAACTTTTTAACAATTCTAAATGCATGTCCCTGATTTTTTTTTTATGGTTTTATACACAAGCATTTTTTAAATTATCCTGCATTTTGTTGACCAGAATATTAATTTTCATCTCGTCTTGGGCAATTTAATTTTAATCCCTTAAAGAAAGATTATGGATGCTGTTTTTTTTTAAACTTATACCAATGAAATCAAATGAGCACTAAAAGGCGCTTCCGTGACAGATGTCACTAGAGGTGCAGGAACAACTTACACTTTCGGAGAACCTGATTACACCTCCATATTTTTTGTTCGTCTTGCTCAATCTTATGTTCCGTGTACTTTGTATTTTGAACTCCTATTCGTTTGTTCCTATTTTCTATTGACCATGGCGTTCTCTGTCTTTCTACGACCTACGGTTCTTGGCAGCCCCTCCTCGGTTTTTTCTCTCCATTTTTAAAATTCATGTTCAAATTAGTTAAAAACTTGGCATTAAAAGTGTGGCGTTCGAAAGTTCGAAGTTCGAAAATCCTAAAAGATAGACCGCAACTTACGTCAACCGTTGAATTACAGGCTCCTGACTTGGGACAGGGACATACAAAATGTGTCTGAGTTAAACTTGTTTGAAAGCGCTCAAACCTTTATCTAACCTGTCACTGTGGTGTAACAGCACAGCATAGAACTAATTCATCTAATTATTGACCACAGGGTGTTGTTGCATTTATCGCAACTCACAAATACATGTACCAAGGTAAGATTATTGTTCGTGAATGTTTGTGTAAAATTAAGGGGACGTGCCAGTGAGACAACTAACAACTTTAAAAAAGTGAAGCCAAGAGCGTAAACAACTAAATTGTGACGTCCTTACACTAGATCCATTGTGTGATTACTGATTGATATTTGGTCTTGGATACATGTTTTTTTTTATTAACAGTTATTGGCTTTGTACTAGCTTTTCGGTAACTGCGAGTACTCTCAGATCTGATGAGCTTTTTTCAACTGCAAAATATTTAACCCCGTCTCATTCTGTCCCTATTTAGAAGCCTGTCATATTTTTTTATGGCTTGCTGTTCGGTATGGGTTTTGCTCAATCCTACCATATCTCTTCATTATGTATAAAGGTCATTGTTGCAGCCTTTAATAGCGAACCAACTAATACCGTACAGCATACTAAAAAAAACCTCGGGAAAACAAAATGTGAAACAATTCGAAAGAGAACATTTAAATAAAACCAATTATGACAAATAGCTATCGCGAAAAAGTAAACCATACGCTCCTGACCCGGTACAGGAACACAAAAAAAAATTGTCGAGGGAGGGGCTCAAATGTGTATTATCCAGTTCGATTTCAATCGCCAAACCAACTGAAAAAAATTACAAAATTTAAAAACATTTTCTTTGTCTTCCCCTTAAAAAAGATGTCATATATTATCCATCAGCTGAACATTCCGCTTATATAGACGATGTCCTCTCACTGAATAAATCAAAATTTGGTGACTATGTTGTTCCCATCTATCCCATTGAACTTGAAATAAAGGATACCCAGACACAATACATACATAGTTTCTCAAATTTTGCATCGAATGACGTCGCTAATCAATATGAATATGTTAATATCCGACAGACAATACATAGCTTTACTTCCAACCCAATTTTAGTTGTTTAACGAAGTCCTTCTTATACATATTTGGGATATATACTCAAATTTTGCGAAAAGCTATCAAAATTGCGCATTTTTGGCTATCTTCATGCGTTTATAATTTGGTGATCTGTGTATAAATAATCAATTATATTGCTAAAACCTTTCAGTACACACGTTGAGCTGTGACGCCACGAGTTAAAGTAAAACTTGGAAGACTTTTTGAAAATTGCCCTGACGTAAAATGAATTCAGAAGAAATTGGCCTTTTAAGACCATTGTTATAGTAATGCGACACATATTTTTTACAATGATTTGTAAACAATATGAAGGTCATGTATTTCCATATTGTTCTGGTCAACACACGTGGGAACGGGCTTTGGTTTGAACAATTGTTTGACTCCGCCACACATTCATGCTTGTACAAAAGTCAGGAGCCTCATCCGTATTTTCTTATGAATCTTGACGTTTTTTTCTTAAAATTTATTTGGACGTCATTCGTTTAGTTAATGCACAACGTTGACATGGGACACTTTAGAGCTCGACTTATTATAAGACAGCACAATTGTTTATTATTTACGTCTGTATGTTAATCCTTTGGATGCTTGTGATTATTTGTGTTGTGGGGTTGACGTCTTATTGAATTCCCATATCTATTTAGATTCATATCCTCTGTATATGAATATAAAGTTTACGTCAGATGAATCCTACTATAGAAACTCTATACATGGTCATGCATGAGATCCTTTTTTAAAAATCTTTTTCGTAATGGGTACCAGGGTACTGGGGATTCGTTTATGTTCGTGGATACCAATTTTCGTGGATTGAGGAAACATTGTGTTTTCTTGGTTTTGCCAAAGCCTCCCTACATTCCCCCAAAATATTTGTACTTCATTAAACATTTCATTTCGTGGTTGACCTTTACCCATGAAATCCACGAAAATTGGTATCCCACGGACAATAATGAATCCACAGTAGATCGACTTCAAATAATAATTAACAATGTAACAACGTTATGGTTTAAATTAGTTTATTTCACTCAATATGTGAACATATTTAACTTGATTTTCCATAACCGTATCCTTTATTAGATGAACTTCCAGACCCTTTATGTTTCCTGTGACGTCTATGATGATGATGGCCGCCGTGGTGATGGCCACCGTAGTGGACGGCGCCATGGTGATGATGGTGATGAACAACAACTGATGGTCCAGCCCAAACACTAGGTACGCCAATAACGTGGTGTCCTCCAACAAGTCCGTGGTGACCTCCAACAACTCCGTGGTAACTTCCGACAACTCCGTGGTGTACACCATGTACAATACTGGTCAACTGTAAAATTTCATTCAAGTTCATGAAAGGAAATGAAACTAATGGAAAAGGATTAAACGGTGATTCTGTACCTGTTAGTTTTGCAGAGAACGTGATTAAAAATAAAACCGGCATACTGTTATTTCCACGTGTTAAACCCTTCATTAGGATATGTATGCTCGAGTTGAGACCAAAATTTTTAAAAGCCTAAAACTATAAAATGTATGACAGCATAACAACCAAAAGGACGTAAGCAAAAAATAAAAATAAGATAAAAAAAAACTGTCTATGGTCAATTTTGAACGAGAAAAGAATTTAGATAATCAAATAATTTGAATGTAAACAATCTCAATATACAAATCTTTATAAATATATAATATGTTGCTAGTTTTACGACATAACCATGCAATGTTGTGGTAATGCCATCTACTTTTGTAAGAAAAATGAAATAAATTTCTTGAAAACAGATTGAAGACATATTTATGATATTAAAGTAATAGAATATTTTTTACTAAACTTCAATTAAATGTACGGTATCATTCATTTTTGGTCGTGTAAGTTGTTCGTACAGAAATATTTGCAACTTTTCCTAAGATCATTGGACACTTGCATATTATAATTAACGATACAATATTATATTAAAAGATTATGAAAAACTTACGACATGTCCTTTGCTACCATAACTGTCACCATCGTAACCATTATATGCACCATATGCTTCTGAATGAAAGAAAAAATAAAACAATCTGTTAATGCATGCATTTCCCAAATGCAAAAAAAAAATTAAAAAAAAAAAATGTTTCAACAAACATATTGAACGGGAAGTTCAACGCAAATGATATTTTCTCGATGTGTTATTAAAAGCTCTTTTTGTAGATGTTATTAAGACTTCATGCTACCAAATTCGCAAATCAATTTGAAATATACTAATCGAGAAAACAAATTCCGGGAGGATAGTTTGAACGCGAAGCGATCAGGAGACTGAAAAAGAAAGGCGAAAGATACCAAAGGGACATTCAAACTCGTAAGTCGAAAATAAACTGACAACGCACTGGCTAAAAACGAAAAAGACCAACAGACAAACAATAGTACACAAAACACAACATACAAAACTAAAGACTGAGCAACATGAACCCCACCAAAGACTGGGGGTGATCTCAGGTGCTCCGAAAGGGTAAGCAGATCCTGCTCCACATGTGGCATCCGTCGTGTTACTCGTGTTAGTACAAACCCGGTAATAAGTCTAAATCGGTAGGTCACATTCGGGAAAAAGGAGACGGGATTGTAGTTTCGACATTTGGAATATATCCACTATCATCTGTGAAACGGATATTCCATAACGGTCAACCAACTCGTGATAGCGTCAGTGAAATTTACGCAGGGATGATTTCAACTTCACCACTTGGGACTCTTTGGTTTAATTGCTTCCTTCTGAGCAGCAACCCTCTATCAAGGAAATCATGATAGGAAATACAAGCCTTTGAATATCGTATCAACTGTAAGATATATACTTGTGCAGGCGTTCCTGGAATGTTGCTACATAGAAATGGAAAGTTCACAATTGGAAAGCTGAAATCATCTCTTTTATCGTAAAGTTTTGTTTTCAACCGACCCTCATTGTTAATTTCTAGATGTAAGTTAAGATACGAGGCAAACTTAACTGTACCTTTTGGATCTTTTATCTCAAGTTCGATGGGATAGATGCGTTCAACATAGTCACCAAATTTTGAAGTATTTAGTGAGAGAACATCATCTATATAGCGGAAAGTAAAGTTAAAGGATACTTGCTAACTTCTTTTCTTTCTTCCTAAGAAGTTCCTGTATGAAGTCAGTCAGCCTCATTTGAATAAAGGAACAAGTCGGCAAGAAGAGGGGCACAGTTAGGTATGCCGATTGTTTGTCAAAAACACGTCCTCCAAATGTAACAAATATGGTGTCAATCAAGAAATCAAGCAGCATCTTGATAATGTCAGTTTGAGAGAATTTTTTGTTTGAATCAGAGTAATTTTTTACAAAGTAGAATGTATCCCTCCCTAAGACAAGATACTTGTATTTACGCTGCCCATTTTTGTTTTATGAAACAAAGCAGGACCAACTCTTTCAATTTGTATTTTAGTTTACAATGAGGAATACTTGTGAAAAGTGTCGAAAAGTCGAATGTTTTAATACCATTGCAAAATGAAAGAGTCTTAGATTGTTTTATCAAGATTTTCTTTTGATTTGCTATACATTGTTTTTAACATTGTCACGGATAGCAACTGCAGAACATAAAATTTGATATTTGAGTGCCTCACGATTGTTGTTAACCAATCAAAATTACGGATTCAAATGAAACATACATGTACATGTAATATAGCTATCTCTGAATACCACTCACAATAACATAATTTCATCAAAATCAGAACTTTTAAAGGGTACCCAGTTTTGATCAAAAGCGAATTCACATAAGAAGTATGATAAAAACTGTTTATGCATCAAACAGATATGATTATGTATAAACGGGATGACAATGTATACCGCTACTGTAACATTCAAATTGATAGATAAACTAAACTTACCAATGGAGGCAAACACAGCGACAAAGATACCAAGTGCTACAGTAACTTTCATGATGATGTATCACGTAAGAACACAATGTAACTTCAAACGATTCCAGCTACATATATATACAACAGGAAAATGTAGACAGCTGTCGATTTATGTACATAAGAAGACCACAACAATATTTTTAAAGAATCAGAACAAGATAAAACACATGCATCTTTAGAATTTTTTTTCAAATAACATCAAGATTATTATTGTAATCTTCAGAAATCTGATTACGGATTTTATAAACATATAGTTTTACCAGTGATGAATGTCAAACGGGGGTGGCCAGGCTATGTTAGGAAAAAAAGAAGAAATAAATCTTATTGAACTTATAAAAAATAGATTGGTGTTTGCATGACGGCATGCATACATGAATGCATATAAAAAGAAGAAGTGGTATGATTACCAATGAGACAACTCTCCACCAGAGACCAAATGACGTAGAAGTTAACAACTATGGGTCATCGTACATTCATACATTCATGCATTCATGCATAAAATTGAGAATGGAAACGGGGAAAGTGTCAAAGAGACAACAACCCGAACAAAGAGCACAAAACAGCCCAAGACCACCAATGGGTCTTCAACACAGCGAGAAAATCCCGCACCCGGAGGCGGGCTTCAGCTGGTCCCTAAACAAAAATGTGTACTTGTTCAGCGAAAATGTACGTCACACAAAACTCCGAAACATACAAATGAACCAAAATAAAAAAATAAAATACATACATATATACATGTACATACATACATACATGTACATAGATATATGTACATGAAATTGAGAATGGGAACGGGGAATGTGTCAAAGAGACAACTACTCGACAAAAGAGCAGAAAACAGCAATGCATACAACAATGCAAATCATAAGGATTGATATTTGTATAGAAAAGTGGTCATTCCTAGACTTGTCCCAATCGACAGTAAAATCCTTGTTAAATTGGGCGCCAATTTGGCGATACAGGGTTCATAAGTACGCAGCCACGTCCGGTAGGATTGGGAACGTTAAATATTATGTCTAGTTTAGGGAGAGTGCTACGCTCTCTGCACGTTAAATTAGCCTTTCAACATTTCTCCAAGGAACCCATAATCAGCCTGCTTAACACCCCTATCTAACATGTCCTCATTTTCAAGTGGCAGTCCAGGTTTCCTGCACTTCATCCTACCTTACAGAACCTGCTATTGTATATTGAAATTGTTCATTGGTAATCGTCATGAATATGTATGACATATTTGCCACTAGACGTTAAATCAGCAACAATCAATCAATTATAATATTTCATTAACTATACTCTGCAAAAAAATAGATAAAAAAATATATTTGACAAGAAAACAAAATATATATTAAATATTAAACAATGAGTTTTTCAATGTGTATTTTGAATACAAAATGCCCACACTAGCAATTTGGCAACTCACCAGATGTATTTTTCAAGATCTGAAAATGGAGGTTGCAGTTACCGTGGAGAAAACAAATGTCCATGTTTTCCAAATAGAAAAAACAAAAACAAAAACATTTTAATTCTAGGATAAAACTGTTTAAAACTACGATAGGGAAGAAATGTCTGAATTAGTTCTATAGAGAAGAACCGTTCAAAACTTGATAGAACAGCTTCTGTCAGAAACTGTTCTAAAGATGTTGGGAGTTCTGTTATAAAACCGTTCTCCTGAAAGATTTTAAGAGAGGTGAGAACTGATTCCAACTGTACATAAATACATACATGCTTCATACCATAGGGGCGTCCGTTTAGCTATTCGGGATGTATAAACACTCAGCCACGTCTGTTCGGAATGGGGACGTTTATGTAATTTGGATATCCAGTACATTGAAGAAAGATCCAGCTTTCTATCTTTTGTTGAGGTTGTAAAGGAAAGAACCATCAGTGACGCTCGAATAAAAACAAATCAAATGACAAAATAAAGCACGAAGTTGAAGAGCATTTAGGACCCAAAATTCCGAAAGGTTTTGCCAAATACAGCTAAGGTAGTCCATTCCAAGGGTGGAAAATCCTTGGTTGTCGAAAAATTTAAAGTTTTGTACATATTATGACATTATCAATGATAATTCATGAAATCATTTTACTCTAAATACAACTAACAAAGACAATAATATGGCATAATAGTTTTTGGTAAAGTTAACGAATGAAGTTCTATTTTATAATAACCCTTTATATGCAAATTACTAAAATTTTGCGAAAAAACCCACAAGATAAAATAAAAAATCATATCGCGCGAATACGCTTCAGTAGAATCGTTCAAACTAACACCAATATTTAAACAAGGATATGTAAAAACTTTCAAAAAATGACATTGTTTTATATTTTTGTTCTATTTTTATCGTCTTGGACGAAGTCTGAAACACTCTTCATACCATAATGTCGAGAGGATGGGCGGACAGGCGAGGAACATTGTATCAATATTCTCTTGCAGTTTTTAACCCAGTTTTCTGAAATTTAATAGACCGATTGCACACATTTTGAAGATGTGAACCTGCTATTATGAAATTATAGGAATAATTTTCTATTTTTCATGACTTAGGATTTTATGAGAAAAATTTACAACAGACAATCCCAGGTGTGTGCAAACAGGTCATCCTACAGTTCCAACTAGATCTCTAAAACTTAAAATTTACAGAAAAATATATACATGTTGAAGTTGTGCACTTCATCCTTCAGTTTTTAACCGTGATCCTTGCAACCTCATAGAATAATTGAGCGCATATTGAGGTTGTGCACCTCATCCTTCAGTTTTTAACCGAGATCCTTGAAACTTCACAGAACGATTGGGCACATGTTGAAGTTATGCACCTCATCCTACAGTTTTAACCGAGATCCTTTAAACTTCAGAGAACGATTGAACGCATATTGAAGTTGTGCACCTCATCCTTCAGTTTTTAACCGAGATCCTTGAAACTTCACAGAACGATTGGGCACATGTTGAAGTTATGCACCTCATCCTACAGTTTTATTCGAGATCCTTTAAACTTCACCGAACGATTGAACGCATGTTGAAGTTGTGCACCTCATCCTTCAGTTTTAACCTGGATTATTGAAACTTCGCAGAACGATTGAGCGTATGATGAAGTTGTGCACATCATCCTAGAGTTTTTTTTACCGAGATCTCAAAACTTCACAGAACGATTGAGTGCATAATGAAGTTGTGCACCTCATCCTACAGTTTTGTTTTTACCGAGATCCTTCAAACTTATCAGAACGGCTGAGCGCATGATGAAGTTGTGCACCGCATCCTACAGTTTTTAACTGAGATCCGTGAACCTTCACGGAACAATTGAGCGCATGTTGAAGTTGTGCACCTGCTATTGTGCAATTGTAGGAGGATTTTTTTTACTTTTTACACATTTCAGACTTATGGACTTTGTCATTTTTCAGCATAATTCATGACAGATAGTTCCAGTTGTGTACAATCATCTCATCCTACAGTTTTCATGTCTGACCCCGGAACTTTGCAAACAGATTGTACATATGTTGATTTTATGCACTTGCTATTGTATGGAATTGTTTGAGGATTTTTCTCATTTTTCCAGATCTCTGAAACTTCATAGAACGATTGAATCCATGCTGAAGTTTTGCAATGTCATTATTTCCTCCAGACGTGGTAGCTTTGTCAATTTTCAGCCAAATTTTCAACAGATATTACCAGTCCTGTATAATCGGCACGGGTACCACATGTGGAGCAGGATCTGCTTACCCTTCCGGACAGTCTGATTAAAACCAGCCCCCAATATCCACTTGCGTTTGTAGATTTACTTCCGGAGCACCTGAGATCACCCGCGGTTTTTGGTGGGGTTCGTGTTTCTCAGTTTTCTTTGTTGTTTTTTGTGAACTTTTGTCTTTTCGTCGTGTTTCGTTGTTTGCCATGGCATTGTCAGTTTGTTTTCGACTTGTGAGTTTGAATATCATTTTGTAATAATTCGCCTCTCTCCTCCTTAAATTCTATCAAGACACTGAAACTTCACAGAAAGATTGCACACATATTTAAATTGTTCAACTGCTATGACGGAATTGTTTGATGTTTTTTTGCCCTTTTTCAAGACTGGTGAACTTTTGTCGACAAATTATTTGGAATTGAGATGGTAACAATTTTTGTGTTAAACCCAGATTTGAGCTAGGACATTACAGAACGTTTGCAAACCAATTTAGGTTGTGCACCTTTCATTATGGATTTGTTTTCAAATTAAAACCATTTTTTTAATTTCCATATATTTCGAATTTCAGTAAAGGCCATTCTGCAACCCTGCCATTTGAGCCATTTATTCATTTTTATACTGAATACTTTTGTAAAAGTCTTGTTAACTAAAACGACAAAATAAACATAAAGTTTTATTATTATACATTGCTTTATATCTTTTTTTAAAATTTTCATCAAAATTTGTAATGTCAATAAATTTATATTCAAAGCAAATGTCCCGTACTGTACTAATAAGCATTCTTCCCCAAACCATTGGACTGTGAAATTAGGATAAAAAAGATCATATCATAGGGAACTTGTGTACTAAGTTTCAAGTTGATTGGACTTCAACTTCATCAAAAACTACCTTGACCAAAAACTTTAACCTGAAAAACTTTTACCTGAAGCGGGACAGACGGACGGACGGACAAACGAACAAACGAACGAACGAAAGGACAAATGAACGGACGCATAGACCGAAAAAGATAATGCCCATAAATGGGGCATAAAAGGTATGCACTGTAATAAGGTTTGGAAGTTGAAAAAAAATTACATGTACTTTATAATTGTCTAGGTGGGATGCTTCAAAACAAGAATAGGCTTCATAATTTCTGGGACTAAGAAACCTACAACACACCAGTTAATAGGGGCGCAGAGATTTTTACTTATTTCGATACTAGGAACAGACCATTGAATGGAACAGACACTACCATTCTGTAAAAAAATATGAATCAGACCCATTTAAATATTCAAATCACAAAACATTTTATGGTATATGGGATAGGGGTAAATAAAAATTGGGGATGTGGGATAATTTTTTTTGTGGGGGGGGGGGGGGGGGGGGGGGTAAAACGTGGAAACGTGGAATGTGTCATCTAAGAAAT